CTTATATTTTGGGTTGTGAGCCTAACCCTTAACAAATGAGCCATCTCTCCAGCCCAGAGCTCAGGCTATCTTAATTTCACTCATTCATGTAGGAAGGGCTGGTAGCATTGTGGTCTCAAAGCTCCCCAAAGCAGCTAGGAGTGAGCAGTACCCACTCACCTCTGTTCCGTTCTCAAGTTATTCTGATTTTCTTCATGTGATAACCCTAGTTCCAGTGAAGTTCATCTCTAGGTATTCTGTAGTTGGAGTTCCTTCACAGTGTGGAAGAGCCTTTTTATTTAGTCATTTTATAATGGTGGCACATGCCTTTAATCTCAGCACTCAGGAGGTGGAGGCAGGTGGATCTCTTCAAGTTGGAGGCCACATAGCAGGTTTCATGTCAGGTCAGCCATGATTACATAGGGAGACCCTGTTTTGTTTGGTTTTGTTTGGTTTTTAAAAAGAAGATGGTGGCGGAGGAGGAGGAAGAGAAAGAGAGGGAGGGAGGGAGAGAGGGAGGGAGGAAGGAAGGAAGGAAGGAAGGAAGGAAGGAAGGAAGGAAGGAAGGAAGAGAAAGGGAAAAGGGAAAAGAATACAGCCTAGTAGATTTTGCTTTTTTTTTTTTCTGTTTTGGTATTTTGAGATTAGGTCTCTACATAGACCTGGCAGTCCTGGAACTCATTATATAGAGCAGACTGGCCTCAAGCCCACAGAGATCCTCTTGCCTCTGCCCCTGAGTGCTGAAACTAAAGGTGCACGCCACCAAATCCAGGCTTACGAGGACATTTTACTAAACTCTTTTTTTTTCTTCCAGCTGTTTTTCAGGAAATTATCTTGGACTTTCCAAACAATAATCTCACCCCACCTCTAAGATCATTTTGTTCACCTGCCCAGTATCTACACTTTCTATTCAATATCTGTGTCTGCTTGCCATGTCTACTTCAGGAAAAATATATTCTAAAAGTAAGGTGTTGCTCAGTGATATATATCATGCACTTAGCAGGCACAAGGTCCTGAGTCAATCCTCAGCATCAGAAACAGATACATAGATGACAGACAGATAGATAGATAGATAGACAGACAGACAGACAGACAGACAGACAGACAGAGTTTGTGGGTAGATGATGAAGACTAATTAGACAGACAAACATATAACAGCTATCTTAGTATGGTTTCTGACTAATGATCATATATCTAGGATCTTTCTGACCCAATGTTCTTTGTTTCCCCTCTCAACCCTTGTCATCTCTACCTTAGTCTAACTTGCATTAAAGTGTCACCTGTATTATCAGAAACATGATGAACAAGGTGGCATCTGAAGATGGGTGGCCTGAGTTCAAGACCTCATTCTGTCATTTACTAATCCTACGACCTAGTCAAGTCACACAAGATCTTTGAAATTCAAACTGAAATGGGTGTGGCAGGCCCAGGCTCTCCTAAGAATTAAATGATTAGATTTATTGATAATGGACTCATTATCAGATGAGCAAATGATGGATTTTTAAGTCTCCCCTCCTCACCCCATTTTCCAATCCAACCTAATGGAACCCATTTTAAGATGATCTTCCCCTAGCTGGGCGTTGGTGGTGCATGCCTTTAATCCCAGCACTCGGGAGGCAGAGGCAGGTGGATCTCTGTGAGTTCGAGACCAGCCTGGACTACCAAGCGAGTTCCAGGACAGCCTCCAAAGCCACAGAGAAACCCTGTCTCGAAAAACCAAAAAAAAAGATGATCTTCCCCAAGCCTGTGCTCTCATACTTTGCTTCCCGGCCCTGTCCTGTGCACGCAGCTACAGGTGCTCCCCACTGCCTAGAGAATCAACCCCACCTCCTTCCAGTCTTGTCCTCTAGCATCTGTGGGCACGCCCACCGCAGCACAAACTCCTACCATCCTTTAATCCCAACTCTAGTTCTCCCGCTAACTGAGACTTCATACCATACAGGCTCCAGCTTCCCCATTCAGACCCCTCCATTGGTCCGTGTCTGATTTATGTGACAAATGAGACAAAAAACTAAATCAGAATTAATAAAACATATTTACTAGCTCTCTTACTAAAATGCTGTCAATATAAAGGGTGAGACACAGTTTGATCAGGGAGAAGACTATTTATCTGTGCCTTTTCTAGATTCTTCCACCATGTCTGTTAACAGTTGTCTGCCAGAAATGAAAGCCTCGTGTTTCTCTTTCAAACCCAGACACAGAGAGAATGACCGTTTCCTCAGACTCTGACAAACACCTCTGTTTTCTGTCTAATGAGGGCACCCATTCCCTGTGACCAAGGGACTAACTGTGCCTGTGACTTGGTTGAGAGACAACAAAGTGGGGGGGTGTTCTTGATTAGCCTGAGCAGGAGGGGAGACACCCCAGAGTCCCACAGCTGCTCTCCGGATGCCAGGCTCTCCAGTCTCCCTCACTTCCTGCTGGAAGTTAAGCCTCCGTTAGCCCCAGAACCTAACAACTGTGTTCTTCTCTTTTCAGCTCCCAACTCTCTGCTCTCCGCTGCCACGGGTAAATTTATTTATATAGCCATTTGGCCCATCTTCCCAACCACTGACTGAGGTCTGCACACTGATTCATACAAGCTGGCCCTTTTGGCCTTCCCCACAGTCCTGTGAGATTGAGAGACGCTCAGTGGGTTGCCCTACATCACACAGAGAGAAGTGCTCTCCCCACCCTCCCCCCTGGCACCTCCTCCCTTTTCCCAGTTCACCTCAATTTCTAGAGCGTCTAGTCTTCCAGCAAAAAGTACAGAGAAAGTTTTCTTGCCAGACAGCAGTTTTGAAGATTTGTGTGACAAGGCCGGGTAAAATTCAAATGACTCTGGCTGATTTAATCTGCTTGGGGCTGGAGTGGTAAATCAGGGCAGCCCAGGCTGCTGAAGCCGCCCCAGAAACACACCAGGAGCTTATCAGGCAATCTGCAGGTGAGGCCCTACAAGTAGGCACTTCGGCCGGGGAGTTCCCCTCCGCTGCATGTCAATACATTCGGAGGGTCCCAGGGCCCTCAGTGCTATGACCTACATGTTCTGCCAAAAGCCTTCCCTCCCAAGGCCAGAGGTGGGTCCCCAGTCAGAGGAATGGAGGCCAGCCTGGGCCAAGCTTTCACTGAAACTGTGCCTTGGTGCCAGGCACTTACACCCCCATGACCTCATTCCATCTCCATAACAACTTAATGAGGGAGGTTGGCCAGCCATCCCCAGCTTGCAGGTTTCTTAACTGAGCTATTAAAATACCTTGCCCAGGGTCATTACACATCTAGGAAGAAGAGGCAGAGATGCAAACCTAGACTCTCAAGATTCCAAAGTCCTCATGGCTTTGGCCCCACCCCACCAGGAAGGAAGATCTCATAGTCTGAGACCTGAGATGGCTAGCCACAGGGAGCTGAGGGAGGCTGTCACTCTGAACAAATGAAGCAGTGGGTTTTCCTTACAAAAGCCAACTCAAGGGAGAAGTCATCAAAGTTGTACTTATTAAATACCAACAGTGTGAAGTATATTCTAGGTTTTTGGGTGCCATGTGCCAGGTACCAAGCTTACCACACACTGTAAGTAAGCAGTCAACATTTATCACAAGCCTCTACAAATTTTCCAATCAACTCCTGGGGAGACAAAAAAAAGAGCTCTGATTTGGAGCAGCTGCCACTTTCTGGAGTATAAATAATGTAATGGTGGTCAAGTCAAGCTGCCAAAGAGGAATGTTCTAGAAAAGAGTTAGGTAGGAAGCCCTCGATTGGTTGGTTCTACAAGCCATGGAACCCCTGACCAGCAAACTGCATCCTGTGATAGGGGACATTAAATTTCATACCAGTCAAATCCATCTCTTCATGGTATTCTCACGGGGACATTCTCTCCCTGACTCAGGTCCCCTGAGACACAGATGGGACCTTAGTCACAGCTCCTGATGTCATCGCTAGAGGGTGGGGCTCCTCAAAATTCAAATGCCCCAGGACAGAAGAGAGAAGACTCCACTGAGTGTCCCTCTGGGTGGAAAACCACAGAGAGGAACATCCAGCCGTGTCTGGCCCATAGTGAAAGCTCCCTGAGGAGTAGGCACATGAATGAGGCACACACGTGTTCCACTCAGTTACCAAATCAAAGCCGAGCCCTGGCCTCCCTAATACACTATCTCTCCTCCTATGTCCCCTGTGTCTTCCCTCCCTTCAACCCTAGTCTGTCTCCAACCAGAGTGCCCCATTTACTCCACAGCCTGTACCTTTCGAGAAGGTGCTACCATCCAATGTCCCCACCCCAAGGTCAGACAGGTACCATCTGTCGCTGATATCACTGTTTTTGCAACTCTCCCATGGACCTGCCAACCCATCACCAACCACGGCAGGCATGTCACTGTCACCCTTCAGTGGGTGGCCACAACCCAGAGGAAATCAGGCATCAAAGCCCCGAGCTCTGGCCTCTTCCTCCACCCCATGCTGGCCTTTATTCCTCAACAATCCCAGTTGATTTCCTCAAATGCTTGTGTCTCAACTTCATTCACGCCATTGGACACACTCAGTCTTGCCCAGGATGCCAGTTTACCCTCTCCTGAGTCCTTCCTTTTGCTCTGTTCAGGAAGATAACACAGAGTTTCAGAAGGCAGTTCCAAAGGGCCACATTCCAGAAGTGCTGGCACTTCATGACCCCAGTGTCAATGCTTGGCAGTCAAGTCTCTCTGACTCTCTTCACGGGATTCTGCAAGTGTTCTTTGGGCTCCAAGACCCAATTCCAGCATACTGAAGACAGAAAATTTGAGGCCCAGAGAAGGAAAGGAATTTGCCCAGAATCACACAGTAAGCCAAAATGGCAGAGCCAAGATGAGAATCACACATCTGTCTCCCAGTACAGGGCTCTCCTGTTCCCCAGCTTACTTATTTATTTACTTAGTCTTACAGACCAAGCTGGGTCTCCCACACCAACACACATGTATGCACCCACAACCACCACCACCTGTTCTGACTTAGCTCCTCCTACCCAAGCCAGACCCACCCCTTCCTATTTCTGCTCCTAAGCAGTGAGGCTCTGCTCTGGACTCGATCGGCTCCCACAGCCCTCCCCTTCCAGGAAGCCTGCTTTGGCTATCAAGCCAAGCCCATGCTCTCACACCTACCCACAGCCACACAGACATGCCCTTCCCCAAAACATCCCTGTCTGTCAGAGCGCAGCAGCCAGGGCTTGGCACACTCGCAGGCTTGCTTCAGCCTCACCAGGCACGGTGCTTACTCCTCAGGGACAGCCACTGTCTGTCATCTTCTGTCATCCTCCCTTCCTCTTCATCCCTCTGTTCTGCAGCTCAAGACACGACTGTTCTGGGTCACAATGCGTAGCCAAAACAGCACAGCCGACAAGGTCAGACCGATGGAGGCTCATACAACAGTCCTGAGTATTCTCTAGGTGTCTGCTGGGCCTGACTCCAGCGGGACCTCAACTTTCTCAGTCTGTGTAATGGGCGCTTCCCACCCAGGGCTCTTGGGGAGCTAAACTAGCAAACCCACACTGCAAGCCTAGCACTCGGTCGGTTCCTACTAAAGACACTCTGCCTTCCCATTGCTCTTCACAGTGACCCCAAGAGCCTTGGGGAAGCAGGCTGGAGGGTGCAACTCATGCATTCTCTATCACTGCCCTTCCTCAAGAGGCAAGGAGTGCATTTCCAAACCCCTTCCCCGCCCCCAGCAATCTGCTTTAACCCTCCTTATCACAAATGCCTTGTTTATTTCAATATCATCCGTTTTACTTTTCCGTTCGTGGAAAAAAAAGGGAAGGGGGGAGAAAGAAAAAAATCACAAAAACAGATTTAAGAGGAAAAAAGAAGGCTTTAATGAGTAAAACTGTCTGCAGCCTTGCTTCTTTCTCAGGAAAAAGTGGCTGTGATCCTGGCAGAGACCGGGAAGCTCAACAGCTTCCCTACAGGGCAGCTGCCAGGAGAAGTGCATTTTGGAGTGGAGCAGAGCCTCCAAATTCAACAGCATGTCTCCCCGCCAGGCGCTTCCTGTGCCCAATTCAGCTTGGCAGGTGACAGCAGCTCTAGCAAAGACGAAGCCCCAGCGGGAACAAGGCTCGGCTCCCAGCTGCCACCCGGCTCCAACAGAGCAAAGAGCAGAGCCGGGCCTGGCCAACTCTGACCAAGGGACACCAGGGCTGGAGCAGAAGGAGACAGGCAGCTGCAAAGAAGGGGGACACCCCCGGCCAGTGCCTCAGAAACCAGACCTCTCTCCCGGCATTTTCCTTCCCCTTGAGGGAAGATAGCCAGGTGGGTATAAAGATCAGTCTCAAGGCAGACTGCTCACACCAAAACTCAGAAACTGAATCTTTCCTACTTTTTTTTCTGGGGTGGCAGGGAGAGAAGAAATCTATTTGGTGCTCTTGCAGAGGACTGGGGTTCAATTACAAGCACCCGCCTGAGTCAGGATGCTCATGACCACCTGTAACTCCAGTTCCAGGGAATCCTACGCCCTCTTCTGGCCTCTATGGGCACCACATACACACACACACACACACACACACACACACACACACACACACACACACACACACACACAAATAAATAAATAAATACATAAAATATCGAAAGTGCTTTACAAAAGATGTCATCTGGGGCCTGATCTGAATGGAATATCAGGGCCAGACTCAGAAAGAAAAAGCAAGGCTGGGTTGTTGCTCTGTTGGTAGACTGTTTGTCTAGCATGCATGAAAACCAGGGTTCCATCCCCAGCACTGCATAAATCAGGTCCAGTGGTGCATGCCTATGATCCCAGCACTCAGATGGATCAGGAGTTCAAGGACATCTCTGAAGTCAGCCTGGGCTATGTAACACCTATTGAGGGGGTGACAGAAATGGCGCCTGTCCTTCAAATATGAACACTAGAGACTGCAGCAAAGCACAGAAACTGAGGCTGGATGGTGGTCTGCTCCTTTGATCTAACCATCAGACCTCTAATTAAGGTGACCCAGCAGCAGGCTGCAGCAGCCCCCTTTAGACGGGTCCTTTTTTATTTTAAGATTTATTTATTGTGTATACAGTGTTCTTCTACCTGCATGTTTGTCTACACACCAGAAGCAGGCATCAGACCTCATTATAGATGGTTGTGAGCCATCATGTCATTGCTGAGCATTGAACTCAGGACCTCTGGAAGAACAGGCAGTGTGCTTAACCTCTGAACCTTCTCTCCAGTCCCTAGATGAGTCCTTCTAAAATATGAGCATCCCACGTGCTGTGGTTACACCTAAACCACCTCTGTGCCCTCATGTGGGTCATGAGAGGCCTTATCCAAAATCTTCAAAGGCCACAAGACAGGGTAGAAAGGTAAGACAAGGCTAGGTGTGAATCCCAGGTCATTTAGTTTCCCAGAAACTTCACCTCTCCTCTGGAAAACTGTCCCATGATGTAGACTGCCACATTTAGCACACAAGCTTGTGAGGATTAGGTAAGGCCATGTGTGCCCTATTAGCTCTTACCTGGCACTCAGTAAGTAATACCTCCTTTGTGCCCATTGCTGGCTCATGGGCTCATGGGCTTCACCTGCCCGTCTTTTAGCTAACTACCAGGCTTGGTAAAGTCACACTGGCTCCAGGGATCACTGTCTTCTCTATCAAGTGTCACAGATTTCCTTGTGCATGCCAGACCCTGACACCAACTCAACACCTTCTCAAAGCTTGGCTCCTTTTTTTTTTTTTTTTTTTTTCTTTTCAAGACAGGGTTTCTCTGTGTAGCCCTTGGCTGTCCTGGAACTCAATTTGTAGACCAGGCTGGCCTCAAACTCACAGAGATCTGCCTGCCTCTGCCTCTCAAGTGCTGGGACTAAAGGCATGTGCCACCACTCCCCTGTGGCTCTTCGTTTTTTAATCGATAAACATTTGTTTATTTTGTATGTGTGTACACATGTGTACACGCATATGGCGGTCAGACGACAACTGGCGGGGGTCAGATCTGTCTGTCCACCCTGTGGGTTCTGAGGATGGAAACTTATCAGCAAACGCCTTTACCACTGAGCCATCACCTCCACACACCCTTTGGGTCTCTTCTATTCAGGTTCCTATTAGGACAATCTCTCCTTCCTAGCCCTGGTTAGGCTTTTTAGGTTTTATTTTGTTGGTTTTTTGTTTGTTTGTTTGTTTCTATTGTTTTGTTTTTGGGGACAGGGTCTCATTACTAACCTTGACTGACCTGGAGCTCGCTATGGACCACGTCAAACTTGAACTTAGAGCAATCCTCCTGTTTCTGTACCCTGCATGCTATGATTACAGGTATGTACCACCATAGCCATTAAATTCTGTTGTTTCGGTTTTTCGCTTTGTTTATGTTGTTGTTGTTTTAATAAAAATTACAGTTGGGATGAGAGCTTAACTCTTCCACAGAATGAAAGGAAAATAGGAACCTGAGGTTCAGAGAGGTGACAAAACCCCTCCAAGGTCACATAGCAGGTCAACATAATAGCGAAGCCCAGCTCAGCCAGAATCTAGTCCCCACACACTTGTCACAGGTTGGTCTGAAGAGGAGGCTGTCCTCTCAACCTACTGCATTTGGCTTGTGGTCCAAGCTCCACTCTGCTGAGGATCATCTGTGTCCTTCCTAGCATTCACAGGAGGGCCACTCCTCATTCCGCCTCCCAGCAGCTCTGTGCCCACCACCCTCAGCTGAGGGGGCAGCCCACACAAAAGGACATGGAAGGAGGAGTTTTCACCTTTGCCTGCTTTACCCTCACTCGCAATGGCAAGTTCATCTATCCTGCTGCTGAAGTATCCTTTTGCCGAACCTCCTTCTTCCCAATCCCAATTCCTGAACTGAAGACTTGCAGCTCTCTGGGACTTCCCTGGGACTCCAGCACCAGACTGGGATGGCTGAGACATCCAGGGTTTTGGAATGAACAACTACCATATCCTTGGCCTTTCCCTCAGGAGACAACCACTGGTGGACCACAGGATGCAAGCCACTCTAATAATTCCATACATATATGCTATATTAAATTAATGCTAATTGAATATTATATATGAGCTTTATATATATATATAGTCTTAGTTTTGTTCCTCTAATGAACCTTGACTAATCCAGTTCCTAATGCTAGGCCATTGACTCCTCCACTAGCCAGCCACAGGGCCAGCTGGACCCTCTTCCCCAGGCATCTGACAAGCTCAACCTCCTGCTGCCCCCCATGGCTGTACTCCAGCACTGACAACCAGCGTTCACCTGCTGACCATGTGCCATTCTGGGAGGTCAAACCAGGATGTAGAGCTTCTAGAAGCTGAAGGCACAGACCTGCCAGTGGTAAGAGGAGAGATACTTCTGGGACTAGCCCGGAACTTGGGTCTGTGGCAACCCTGGGGACAACCAGTGGAGGAAAAGATTGCTTTTGATTCATGAGCAAACCACCTGTGAGTCTGTGTACCACATCCAGGCAGAAGGCTCACAGTCCTACCCATGGGAGCAGAGCGCTGGAGCAAGCCCAGCCTGCTGCCATCACCGCTACTCATACAACCAAAACTGCAGTCACTGGCAACCACGCCCACAAGCACACTTACACTGAACACTCTGAGTCCACTCAGCCCCCTGTGACTCACAGAAGCCCACCTGTTCATCTGGTGACTCTGGGTGAAGTACCTGCTTCCTCCCAACACCATGCCAAGTATTGGGAGACTCCAGTGGAAAGACCACACCCACCATTCAGGTACTAGTATCCCAGCACTTGGGAGGCTATGTATTCAAGGCTGGCCTGGGTTACCTTGAAAATCTGTTGTTGTTTTTCTTTTTTTTAAAAAATCCATTGTGAGGGATGCCAGAAACAAAATACAACTCCAAAATTTAAAAAAAAAAAGTGTGAATGACTGAGTCATTTGGCATATTGAAAAGTGTGATGGTTGCCTTTAATAGTCAATTTGACACAATCTAGAACCACCTCAGCAGAAAGTCTCAGGGAGGAACTGTCTTTGTTAGGTCGGCCTGCAGGCATATGGGGGTTGGGGTTTGGGGGCAGGGGTGCAGACTGTCTTGATTTAGTTAACTGATGTGGAAAGACCCAGCCCTCTGTGGGTGGCACCATTCCCTAGGCAGGGTGGGAAAAGGGAGCTGAGCACAAGTAAGGAAGCCACAGAGTATGTATGCATTCATTTCTCTGTGCTTCTGACTACAGGTGTGATGTAACCAGCTGTCTGAAGTCACTGCATTGACTTCCCCACAGTGATGGGCGGCAGCCTGGAACTACAAGCTAAGATAAACCCTTTTTCCCCTAAATTGCTTTATTTGGTGAGGGTGTTTTTTATCACATCAACAGAAATAAGACTAGAACAGGAAATAACGCAGGGGGGGAAGGAAACCTTATTCTAACAATGAGAATTGGAAAGTGGGCAGGGGGCAATTTCAAGTGATATGGTCAAGCCATCAAGAAGAGTGCCACTTGAGGGATTGCTTGGAGGGGGTAATAGTGTCATCCAATCGTTTGTCTGTGATACTAAGCATCCAAGATGCCCCTCTCTGCCGGAGACAGTTTTAATAGTGGGGACACACTCATGAACAAGCCCTCTACAGCTCGTGTCCTCATGGAGTTTCCATTCTGGTCGCCATCTGCGAGAGAAACCATAAGCAAACAGACCCATGAGTACCCACTGTGCCCAGGCTTAGCCCAGGCACCGAGAACATAACGACAGCGTCATGAAGGCAGCTGAACCTGCTTTCTCTTGCTATGACTTGACACCACAAGCAAGGCAATTTATAAAGAAAAGTTTGCTTAACTTGTGGGAATCTGACATCAGCCAAGTATGGTAGTGTAACACCTTTAATCCCATCAGGCATGAAGAAGAGGCAGAGTTAGCTCTGAGTTCAAGGCCAGCCTGGTCTATGTAGTGAGTTCCAGGACAGCCAAGACTACATAGAAAGCCTCTGTCCCAAAACAACAACAAGATTTGGCAGCCATATCTGGTGAAGTCCTTACTGTTGGGAACGCTCAGAGCATTTGCTCGCAAAGAGGGACTGAGTAACCTGGAGTTTCCCTTCCTCTTCCTATGAGGCCCCCATCTCCCAGGCTCAGGGCCTAGCACTTATAGCCTCATTAAACCTTCTCAGCCTCCCAGAGGCCACACTCCAAATGCCAGTCTAATTTACCCTCTACCTTTTTAAGAGTCACCATAAGGGATAGATTTTAAACTGAGGCCAGGTGTGATGATACTTATGTACCATCCCCACACTTGAGAGGCTGAACCAGGAAGGTAATGCATCCAAGCTAGCCTGAGCCTCCTCTCAGAAAGCTGGAGAAAACACTGTTCAACATAAATTTTGGGGATGCTCAAGCTACAGTGGGGTGAGGAGGATGTACAATCAACTTTAAGAAGGATGGTCTCTGGGTCTTGTCTCACAGATCCTTCCACAGAACAGGGACTCACATAGATCACCCACAAGAATCATAGCTGCACACACAGGCACATGGAGTAGTCTCTGCTGTGAAAGGTACACATACATACACACACACATACAAATACACACACACACACACCTCAACCTGGCTTAAAAGTAAGGATCAGCTGGGCGGTGGTGGTGCACGCCTTTAATCCCAGCACTCGGGAGGCAGAGGCAGGCGGATCTCTGTGAGTTCAAGG